ACACCACACACACACACACACCACACACACACCACACCACACACACACACACACACCACAACACACACACACACACACACTACCACACACACACCACACACACAACAACACACACCACACACAACACACACACACACACACAGCCACACACACACCACACACACACACACACCACAGCACACACTGGAGGTGGAACCCGCATCGACCAGGCTACTACCGAGGCTACACGCGAGTCCAGAGAGTCGTCGTCCAACTCGTGGAGCCGCCGAAGAGAAGGAGACGTCGGGCAAGTTCGAGGACCGTCGACTGGGTCGAGGGAGACGTGCCGGCTGTTCGTCGTCGGACGTGTGTGTGTGTTCACCAGGTCGCAACTCGAATGGGGATCTAAGTGTGGCCTAGACAGACACGGTGCAATGTCGAGTCTTCGCCGGATCTTCGGGGAGCCACCACCCGGAAGGCGATTTTTATGCCGCCGGCAAAAGCTGCGCTCCGTAACCGTATCGCGGCCCGTCCTTCACTTAGCCAAGTCTCCGAGCGTCATTAGGGGTTTTATTTGGAGTTAAAATGATGTCTGCGATTTAGAGGAGGCATCGAGAAAGTTTCATCGCTCCGGTCGCGGAGGACGGCAAATATGTCCTTGCACTTTAATATATATATGTATTTAATGACTAGCTAGTTGACCGTAAAAGAATGGTTGATTTGTTGTTGTTCTTGGTGTAGGAACCCTAAGGTACAGAAAATATTGACCCTGGATAGGATGTTTATTAAATTGAAAACAGACATTTGGTTCGCGCCCCAGGTCGCCTGTTTATACGGGTTTAGGGTTTTGTTTTGACGTTCGGGCCCGTCCGTTCGTGCGAGGCCGAAGACTTTTAGCCCGGCGGGGGCCCATACTGCGACATACACACACATAAATGATTTCTTCTTTTTAAACCTTGTTAAATCGGACTACCCTTCAGTTACCGGGCTCATTAACACAGACATTAATGCACATCATGTGAACAGTTTTGCTTTTTTTAAATACTCAATATAAATATTTATTTAATTGTTATATTTTTGACATATTTTATGTTCATATTCCTGATGTTGTTTATGTTCTAACCATCAAACACCAAAGCAAATGCCTTGTATGTGTAAACGTACCTGGCTATAAACTGGATTCTGATTCTTCTATGACAGGGGTGTCAAACTCAATTTCATCGCGGGCCACATTATGGTTGCAACTTTAAGACTATATAAAAATATATATAATAATATATATAAAATAATGTATTATATTACATTATTGCCTCTGCATTGGATTATTATCGGTTTTGGGTCCTAACTTCATAAATAACTATGTGTGAAAGCAGAAGCCTCTTCAGTGTGCATGTCACAAAACAAGATGCATTTTGGGACATGTAGTTTCTGGGGAAAGTGCTTCCGTAAAGCGGCATGTTACCGTATGTGGCCTTGAGTTTGACACCCCTGTTCTATGAAGTCTGTCTAATTTTGTAGGTAAATGTGTTAATTGTACGTGTGTCGGTTACGAATCTGAAACTATCCGGCCCAGTTGAAGGTTTATTTATCCATCCCATCATGTCTCACCCCCCCTCCTCCTCCTCGCCCCCCAGCTGTCGGAGGCGAAGGGGAACGGCTCGGCGGTGGAGGAAGAGTTCACGGTGGCCCGCCTCTTCATCAGCAAGATGAAGTCGGAGGTTAAGTCTCTGGTGAACCGCAGCAAGCAGCTGGAGAGCGCGCAGGCCGACGCTCACCGCAAGATCCAGGCCAACGAGAAGGAGCTGGCTTCCTGTCAGCTGCTCATCTCCCAGGTAACAAGCACCTAGGTAACAGTGGTTGTCTCATGGGTGGTGTTGCGCAAGGATCTGATCCGTGGTTCAGTGATCTCTGGAAGACTTGAATTTTAAGTTTAAGCCTCGCTGTTGCCCTTATTGTCCCAAAGCGGCAGGGAAGTAACATTCTATATATTGCCTTTCTATTAACCAATTACATAACCCTGTCAATCAACCAACCAAGAGGCCTTTCCTGTTTTGAATGCACTTTTACATCATAAGTAAAGATAGTTTTTCTTTTCCCCCAAACTTCTTTTTACTTTTGGATTTGATAAACGTCTAAATCTTGAGTTAAAAAAAAAATACACTTCTTTCATATTTGTCCATATGAAATATAAAACAAGTCATTTTTAGAGTCAAACATCTTATATTTAAGATGTCCCAAAATGATAGTAAAATTCATATTTTAAAATGTTTTGTGATTCCAACTTTTAAACTATTTTAATTGTATTCATATGTAATTGTATTATTCTTGTTTTTCTTTTTGCACAATGTCTTAATGAAATGCAAATAAACTTGCCTTGTCGGTCAAAGTTTGACAAGAGGCCATTTTAGTTTGTAGTACACTTTTAATTCAAACTAAAGATGCGTGGTGCATACTTTATATGCAATTTTCTAAAATATGTTTCATATTCTGTTCGTGGAAACTGGGATCTTGACACTAAAACCTTTTCTTTTCTTTTTTGCCTGTGAAAACATAAAATAATATATTCTGTACGTTTTTGAGCTCACTACTAAATCTCTAGTACTGCTGTTATTTTAGAAATGGCTGCTCTCCTCTATCACTTTTCTCCATTTCTGTTACAGTTCCTGAAAGTCACTGTGGATAAATACTGACCCTTTCTCGTGCTCTGTCTCTGCTCCCCTCTGTGTGAGCAGCACCAAGCCAAGATCAAGTCTCTGACGGACTACATGCAGAACATGGAGCAGAAGAAGAGGCAGCTGGAGGAGAGTCAGGACGCTCTGAGCGAGGAGCTGGCCAAGCTGCAGACCCAGGGTCAGCTCACATGCACTTTACCAACCAGCACACCCTCCTATTCATGCACTTTGAATAACCCAGTTAATGACCTGCAGATTGATTTATGTATAGGGTTAAGGAGATGAGTCTTACCTTGAATGCTTGGAATGTCTCTGTACTCTGTGTAGTGACAATAAGGAATCTAATCTAATATGTACACATCACATGTTGACTAATATTTAATTGTTGGCCCTCAGAGAGAAGACACTCGGGGGAGGAGAAGGAGAAGGAGGACATCGGCAGGCCTGATGGAGACGAGGACATCAAGGTGACCTGGAAGCACATCTGGAAACTAAAAGCAGTCAGATGTTGTTCTATTGGATGAATGTCTCATGTGTCTCTGCAGAAAACACTGGAGGAGCAGCTGGAGCACCACAGGGAGGCTCATCAGAAGCAGCTGGGCCGCCTGAGGGGCGAGATCGACGACAAGCAGAGGATGATGGACGAGCTCGCAGAGTACGGAGACATCACACATCCTCGTTTATGTCCTTTTATTTTGGACACTGACCCCTTTTTTTTTTAGATGATTTCCCCATGCTTTTCTCCGCTTCATTTCCTGTTATCGCTATGCTTTTAAATGTCTGAAGATAATAATACTCCAGGGTAAAGTTACGATTTATTTCCCTTCTCAGTCTGAACGAGGGTCTGCTATTGGAGCAGGGGAGGCTGATGTCAGACTTTGACAAAGTGAAGGCAGAAGAGCAGGAGAAGGATGAGAAGCTGCAGAAACTCATGTAGGCTTCTCACTGCACTTCAAACGACTGATATCAAACTTTATTATTCTTCAAATCTTAATGTAAATGTCTCTGTTTCCTGCAGTGCGATAAATGAGGAGAGGGAGCAGGCCAGAGAGGACCTGAGGGGCCTGGAGGAGACGGTGGTGAGGCATTTTTTTTTTACATTGTATTATTATTAGTCAATTTATTGAACATGTCAGATTTTTTTTTTAATAGTAATTATAACAAAGAGATGTAAAACCAAACAACAACAAAAAACGCTCAAGGTACAATTTTTTTTAAATAAATACATTCTCAAATAGTCTCTGTCATGTTCAACAGGGGCAAGAAGAAGCTTAAAAAAACGTTTCTGGTCCTACCCCATCTAGTGTACATTTTTCTTGAAGATAAAAGATTAGGTCATCGTCGTCATGTTGTAAACAAAAAATAAATAACTTTTACAATGACAAGGAATAACAAGTTTATTATAGTGCAGCCCACAGGCCAATGGTGAACCTTTTTATACAGTAATGTAATTACAAATATATTATATATATTATGTCATAGTCCCAAAAAGTTACAATGACCCTGTAAATAATAATAATAATAATAATAGATTTAATTTATTAGCGCTTTTACAGGTAAAGTCACAAAAAGTCATATCGCATACAAAAAAGGGTTTTAACTACTTCCTAATGAGCATAAAACAGTTTTGTATCTCTCTCAACTATTTGATCTGCAACATTTGGAGTATATTCAAAGTCTTAAAAACACCTTTTAAACACCAGCTAAAGACACATCTTTTTAGGTTAGCTTTTTATTAGCAACCCCTCACTTTAAATGTTCTTTTATGACGCGTTTCCACTGCAGCGCAGAGCTCGCTTTAAGCGTTCCTAGCGGTTCCGAGCCGTGCAGGGCCCGTTTTTGGTTGCGTTTCCACGTGGCCTAGTACCGGCTAGCGGGTCCTAATTCACAGTTTTTCTGGCCCCATGAAATTGTGGTCCTAGGGCCAGGAACAACCAGGCTGAGTCGGGCTGCGTATGCTAAACTAGAGAGAGAATCGCTG